GTTTTCAACTAGTCCTGGACCGGACTTTTTAGGGACCGGACCGGGACCGAACCAGACGAACCATTTAACATCCCTAACTAGCGGACTATCGGACACAAATTTTGTGTAACTAGTGACATCTCTCGAGAAGTTTATTGTCAAACGCGAAAGTGAACTTTCAAGAACAATTAATAACGTAAACGTGAGAAAATTAATGTAATCTAAAAAAATAGTTTACAGTACAATTCAAAATTCTACTTGTAAAACTACCTCTGAAAAAGCTTTTCTTGCGTAATTTTCCCTAAAAAACGTATATCGATAATAGCTGTTGGTGTATTATCCTTTCCTTTACTACTTTACTATACGTAAAATACTACGTAAAAATACACTAAAATACACTAAAATACCAAAAGTTTATAATATTTTCTCACCCTAACCTCGAAATAGTAAATTAAAGTTTATAATACGTATAATCTGTGAAAAATATCGGCTTCTACGTATATCAGATATCGATTGATATACACTGTATTATCGTATTATATCATATCATACCTTTAGCGATAATTCGATAATTACTACATACTATATCACGTGCTATAAAGACAATGTGACGTAAGGCGCATATATTTAATTAAATATTCAAAATCTTTGACTCTCTTGTCTACTAAAGTCATGTCACCACCGCGTCGCCATAGTTCACGAAGTAGCAAAAAAGCTATCGCTGATTTCGGAAAGCCATTTATTAAATCTTCACGCGCACAAAGTAATGCTACTGTTAAATATACTGAAACTAAACCGAAAGATGCCTGGGCTACTCTCGTGCCCTCGGGTGAGACGTGTAATAGTCTAATACCTATTTATTTGACTGACAACACTCATTACTTGGGAGCTCAACCTGAAGATGGCGTTTTTAAGGTAACTAACCTTATTTTCTTTCATTTTATATCTATAAATATATTTTTCTTTAAATATATACACGCTTAAATTTATTTTTTTCTCTTTGTTTAGAGTCTATTAGCTGACCCTAGAATCGACGTGCTACACTGTGCTATTTTTAAAGTATGTCTGATATTTTATTATTTACTATAAATTGGATTATTATTATTAATATAAATGTAAATAAATGTAAATATAATTATATATATTTTTTAATTTAATTTTTATAATTTTTTTTTTTTATAATTTCCTTTTTATAATTCCCTATAATTTTTATTAGGAATATAAAGAGTCTATAGGAACAATCGTAAAATTACAAAATTTAAGGTATTCTTTTTATATATAATTTCATTTTATATAATATATAGAAATATAGAAAAATTTTAATTATTAATTACTATTTTTTTTTTATAGTCAAGATGGTGCTGTTCGAGTTTTAGATCGTGATTTAATGTCTAAACAATATGTCGAATTAAAAGATGGCGATTATATACGATTTCCTTCTTCAAAAGGTCATTGGTATATTTATAGAATTGAGATCGATTTAAAATCAAAAGTTATGTTTCATAGTGTATACGATATTAAAGGTACTCTTGGAAAAGGTCATTTTGCTGAAGTAATGTTAGCTACTCCTAAAAATTCTATCGCTGGTAATGAATCAAGATTACAAGAGTATGCCGTAAAAATTATTGATAAAAGTAACATGACGAAAAATTTTAATGAACAAAAACTTCATGATGAAATTATAGTAATGTACAAGATTTCTCATGTAAGCTTATAATTTTTTTTTTTTTTTTTTTTTTTTTTTTTTTTTTTTTTTTTTTTTTTTTTTTTTTTTTTTTTTTTTTTTTTTT